CATCCAGAAAGCAGGCAGCAATATGGGCCAAGATATGGTGGAATAATATAGGCTGGTGAGTTTGTAACTGCAAGCAGTTTGGTGCACTGGCTTGAACTTTGGATGTTAGGATGGGGCAAAGCACCATGAAACATAAGCCTGGCGGTAAGCAGCGACAGATGCTAGATGTTCTTGTGAGCTGTACTAAAGTTTGCTCTTCCATTTATGCAATAAATGTATGTATTAAGAACCTACTCAGTGCCAAGTCTTGGAGAGACAGACACAATTTTTTTGTTTGTGTGACACTTACAGTATTAAAGGGGCAGACAGACACTAAACCAATAATCATAGAAATAATTATTTAATTTTACTTGTGATAAGCTCTCCTATGTGGAGGCCAATGCTGTTTAATGACAGAATTTGTAATAGGGACATCTAACTCACTCTGGAGTCCGAGATATCTTCCCTGAAGAGATGACAACACAGACGAGACCTAAGTAGGAGCTTATCAGCTACAGGAGGGCTCGTTTGTGAAAAAGCGCTTCAGGCAGGGGCAACATGGGCAAGGGCTGGGAGACAGGCAGACATGTGTGTAACCAAGTACCCCTGCTTTTCTAAGAGAAAGAGAATGAGTTGTGCTTTGTTTTTTCCTTCTTTTCTCTTTCCCCTTTTTCCCTTGTTCCTCACTTGTTACTTAGCTTGTTAGGAATGCAATTATAACCTTTACCTTCCCCTCACCATGTAGACGCTTCCTACACGGCAAGCTTACCTATTAGGTTGGTGCAAAAGTAATTTGGCAAAGTAATGGCAATAACCGCAATTACTTTTCCACCAACATAACAACTATGTGCCAGAGACAGGAGACTGTCCCCCAGGTGATGGCCTCATCAGACAAGTCAATTCACAACCTGAAGTGTCCCTGCGACAGAGCTCTCTCTCACCTGGAGTGGATCTCAAGACAGTGGCCACCTTACAAGTTAGCTCTGCCCACGATGGTGCCAGCTCGGTAGATACAGCACCACAGCGAGTCATGCAGACCCTACATCTGCTTGCTCCCTCCCCTGCATGCCATTCATGCCAAATCCCCGCTTAAAAGCCTCTGCTTTCCGCCCCAAAAGTGAAGCGATGTCCTTAAAGGCAGGAGCCTGTACTTCCTCCCCTAAGCTATGCTTCGGAATAAAGTCACTTTCTTTATACCAGACTCAATCTTGTTAATTGGACTCTGCAGGTGGTGAGTGACTGAATCGGTGTTTTGGTTACATGCGGAGCTTTAGAGAAACAGAAAAACCTGTAGCCAATGGATGGGTTCTACTCAGGAAAGCCACATGTCATATTTGCATTTTAGAAACCACCTCCTGGCTGCAGTGTGGGGAATAGTAAAAGGAGGTGGGACGGGAGGTGTGATGGTTAATTTTATGTGCCTACTTAACGGGTAAGAGATTGCCCAGATGGCTGGTAAAGCATGGTTTCTGGGTGTGCTCTCACCTATGTGGGCAGACAGCACCCCATCCATTGAAGGCCTACATAGAACAAAATGGTGGAGAAAAGAGGGCTTTCATCTGTCTTCTTAAGCTGACACATTATCTTCTCCTGCTCTTAGATGTCAGCACTCTGGGTTCTCAGACATTTGGATTCAGACTGGGACTTACAACACTGGCTTTCCTGGTTCTCAAGTCTTTGGGCTTAAACTGGAACTCTACCACTGGCTTTCTTGGACCTTGATATTATAGACAACAGATTATGGAACCTCTCAGCCTCCATAATTACATGAGCCAATTCTTCATAATAAGTATTTTTCTATCTGTATGTGTCCTATTGATTCTGTTTCTTTGAAGGATGATGACTAATACAGAAAACACAGAAAGCATTGTTACAATAGATCTCACAGTGTCAAGGTGAAAGCTGTGGCAGTGTGGACAGAGAGGATGGGATACGTTTAGAAGATACTTAGGAGCCAGAATTGGCTGTACTTAGTGACCAGTGAGTTAGATAAAAGAAGGGAAGAGAGAGACATCAACAAAATGACTCTTTTTTTTTTTTTTTTGAGATGGAGTTTCGCTCTTGTTATCCAGGCTGGAGTGCAATGGCGCAATCTCGGCTCACCGCAACCTCCGCCTCCTGGGTTCAGGCAATTCTCCTGCCTCAGCCTCCTGAGTAGCTGGGATTACAAGCACGCGCCACATTGCCCAGCTGACTTTTTGTATTTTTAGTAGAGACGGGGTTTCACCATGTTGACCAGGATGGTCTCGATTTCTTGACCTCATGATCCACCCGCCTTGGCCTCCCAAAGTGCTGGGATTAAAGGCTTGAGCCACCGCGCCTGGCCCAACAAAATGACTCTTAAATGTCTGGATGGAGCAGCCAGGTGGATAATGAGATAACACAGAGGATCGGATTCCCTGAGTGGAGAAGGTTAGGGAGAGCTGATGGGTTTCATTTTGTATACACTTAGCTTGAAGTGCCCATGGAGATATCTAGTAGGCAACTGGATGTGAGTGTAAAGTTCCAGAAGGATTTCAAAGCTAAGAGTTATAGAAAGGGGAAATATCAGCACTTAGCTAGTGGTTGAAGCCATGATGATTGATAGCTCACACGGAGAAAGAGAACTGAGTGAAAAGACCAAGCCCTGAGAAACATATGAGGTGAGTATAGAAAGAGGGGTCAGAAAAGGAGCTTGAGAAGATCAAAGAGAGCAAGAACAATTATGAGGAAATGTGTGCTGTATTCTGTTTGCCCTCCAAATCCACTTTCTATCCTTCATCCTGCTCTGTGGCCTGGTAGGCTGATTGTTGTGGATAACGTCAACTGCCTCTCCTGTTCTCTGGCTTCAAGAGTTCAGCCTCTGGGAGGCACTGCCAGGAGATTGGAGGGTGAGTAAGAGAGGCTGGGGAGATCAACCCCTGGCTGCCTTCTGTTGTAAATGGACTGTTAGTGGTTATAGTCCCACAAAGACCATGGCTCCTGCTGGGCAACCTCACAGCTGCAACCTGCCTTGTCTCTGCAGGTCTAAGGGTGTCAAGGCTTTCCCCTGTTGCTAGCCTATAGGTTTTTCACCTTCCCTTCCTAGTTTCCTTTAATCCTAGATCTTTGCAAATGATTCCTTCATTAAACTCTCTTCAGTCATTCCTGTGTCTTGCCATCTGTACACTCCTGGTATCTCATCTTTACAGAGGTGTTTCACAAAAGCCACTGAAAATGAGTTTCAAGGTGGGAGTGGTCAACAGTGGTCAAAGATAGGAGCTGGTTCTTCTTCCTTCAGCTAAGCTTTGGGGAATGCTGCAGAGGTTTTCCTTGGTGAAGACTGAAATCTATTGTACTTGGCAACTGGAGGTTGTTGGTGACCTCTACTGGCACAGGTTAAAAGAAAGGTGAGCTGAAGCCAGGCTGCAGTGTGCCGAAGAGGCCATGGCGAGCCGCTGACCATCACTTGGAGGCACCTAGCTATGAGGGAAGAAGGTGGAATTTTGAGGGAGCTGCAGGGTGGCATTTTCTTTAATTTTAGTATTGTAGAGACTTGAGCGGGTTTATATGCTGTGGGAAGAACCTATTAGATAGGGGGAGGTTGGAAGAGCAAGAGAAACATGAATGGACCCATGGCCTTGGGTCATAGGAGGACAGGAATGAGGGTAGATGTGCACATGAGAATGTTTACAGCTAAGGAGTGGGTGAGTGAGGAGCTTCGTCCTCAATATTCTCGTGAAAGTTCAAAATCACCATTATAGCAATTGGGGAGAAATTGATGAGGGCCTAGAAAATGCCTAAAGGCTTTGCTGAAATAAATAAATGATTGATGTTACATGACATAAACCAGAATGTGGAGTGTGCAGTAGAGTGATAGTGTGATGAGATGAAATTGGGAAGGTAGTGTGGGTCTAGATTACAGAATTTGGTTTTTATACAGACAGTAGGAGTCATCAAAAGTTTTTGAGCAGGAGCGTGATGGGTTGGATATAAGATTATTTAGGGGTGAATGAGGGGCAAGAAGTACTAAAGGTCACAGTAATATAGGCAATAGACAAGGGAGGTGCTTTATTTGGGGATTGAGAACAGGTGTAATAAAGTTAAGAGTTAGATCCTGTTGGATTAGTGATAGTGCAAACAGGTGGACTAGGGGATCTTAAGGTCCTTCCACAGAACTCCAGCACCTTCCTCCTTACTCTACCCTAAATAAATATACCTGTAAGTAAAAACAGTATGCTTTCTATGCAAACACTGGTTTAACACAAATTAGCTAGCCCCCTCTCCATATTGCCAGGCCTAAATGTCCCCCCGTATAAACATTCAGGATCTTCCACTGCCTAGAGCTTAGAGGCAGCTCAGCTATAGGAAATGAAAAGAAGGAGACAGATTAAGTCAGAAATTTTAACTGGGTTTACTGGGTGGATTTTGTGATACTGTTGACTAAATAAGGAAATATAAGAGATTATATTTGGGAAAGAAAATGATGAATTTGGCCAGGCACAGTGACTCAAGCCTGTAATCCCTGCACTTTGACAGGCTAAAGTGGGAGGACCTCAGCCTGTCAAAGTGCAGGGATTACAGGCATAAGCCCAAGAGTTCAAGACCAGTCTGGGTAATATAGGGAGACCCCGAGTCTCTTACTATTTTGTTAAAAGAAAACGGTGAATTTTAGGTGCTCAGATGAGCTACATGGGTTTGGGCAACTAGGGCTGAGAATGCAAGTCTGGAGTTTGGGATGGAGGTAGGACTTGCCATGCAGATCTGGAGTGTCTGTGTAGAGCTGGTTGTTGAGGCAGTGGGGCCCAAGGAGGGTGGGAAAAGAATCATAAAGAAAGACTAAGAAGAAACAAAAATGCTTGAAGAGTTCTGTCTTTAGGAGGGCAAGCAGGGGGGAGGGGGGTGGCATCAGGAAGGATGATGAGAAAACGTCGAGAAGCAGGAGGATGAACAGAAGGACACAGCTCATGATGCCCAGAGTGGGGTGAGTCACGCCAAGGAAGGGCTAGGCAAGGATATGCCAGAGAACCTTTTGCTTTTTTACAGGAATCATCAATTCTTTCCTTGAAAATGGATTTTTAATTTACACTTTGTTCTAAAAAGTGATCCCTCTTCTCTGTAACTTCTTTAAAAACATTTATAATTACTCAGAATTTTTCCAGTTTTGCAGTTTGCAGCCTCCAAAAAGTTGTGCTAGTGTGCATTCAGAATTCATTAAAATCTGTCCAGCATTTCCACTGAAGTGCTCAATATGCATGAAAAAGTGTCACTTAAATTCCCTCTGATGATCAAGTCGAACATCCTTGTCTTTGTCATGCTAAAGCTGTTCTTTACAGAGAGCCAACTCTCGTCAGATTGCTCCGGGTTTGTATTTGAAAAGGAAAGTGAAAATCATCTTTGTCTAACCACAACAGATTCGCCTCTGAATATTTACCCCAACCGATCGATGATGTGCTCCTGTGTTCTTGGTGAACTGGTTTTGTCTGGAAGCTCTTATTATAATGATGCATGGTTCTTGTTCTTGGAATGATCTCAAAAATTCCCCTCTATCTCTTTCACACTGAAGAGCAGGTTCATCCCCACAGGATGGTAACAAGTGTGTTTGGCTTCTAACCCTTCTAGAATCATCGTCCTCAAGTGCACACACATAACCCCCATTTGCATCAGTGTCTACCTGGTTGGAATTCATGTTGTCTCCTTCAAGATCTTGTTGTGAAGGTCTTAGTTTTCCCCTGCAGTGATCTTTAAAGGAATATTGTTTAGAGCGTGTCTATATCCTGAATGAAAGATTCTTATTTACAAATGTCCAAGTCTTTTTCATGGCAGGCAGCCTTATTAGGATCTGAGGGAACTTCAGCAGAACATGGTGGTGTTTGTGATGAAACATCCATATTTGAACATTCTAAGTCTCTAAGTGAGCAATGCCATTCTGCTGCCTTGGATTGAAGAGCTGTGTCATAATCATAGGTGGACATGCCCGGAATCTCATCCCCTAAGGGACTATTCCCCGGTGATCTGGGCCAGGGTGATGGGCCCTCAGATCTATCAGTGTCAGAGGCATTTTCCAGGTGACTCTTGTACAAGCCAGAGTCTGGAGAGGCAATGAGATGTTTTTCAAACGAATAGTCCTGATTCTCGAATTTCCCTGGAATTGTTTGGAAGGTGACATTGTCCTCAAGACTGTTTACTGCCATCATGTTTTCCTTGCTTGCCCTTGAGCTCTCGTTGTACAGAGGCTCCTCGTCCTGCAGGAGCTCCTCGTCATGCAGGGGCTCCTCGTCCTGTAGGAGCTCCTCGTCCTGTAGGAGCTCCTCGTCCTGTAGGGGCTCTTCGTCCTGCAAGAGCTCCTTGTCCTGCAAGGGCTCCTTATCCTGCAGGATCTCCTCGTCCTGCAAGAGCTCCTCGTCCTGTAGGGGCTCCTCGTCCTGCAAGAACTCCTCGTCCTGTAGGGGCTCCTCATCCTGCAGGGGCTCCTTGTCCTGCAAGAACTCCTCGTCCTGCAGGGGCTCCTTGTCCTTCAAGGGCTCCTCGTCCTGCAGGGGCTCCTTGTCCTGCAAGAACTCCTCGTCCTGCAGGGGCTCCTTGTCCTTCAAGGGCTCCTTGTCCTGCAAGAACTCCTCGTCCTGCAGGGGCTCCTTGTCCTTCAAGGGCTCCTTGTCCTGTAGGGGCTCCTCGTCCTGCAGGGGCTCCTTGTCCTGTAGGGGCTCCTCATCCTGCGAGGGCTCTGCCTCTTCAGGCACTGCCTCTTCAGTCTCGCTCCTTGCACCCTCTGAACTTACGGAGCTCAGAGTGAACAGAGACCCCTCATCAGAGTCACAGTCACTCTCCACCACACACCAAGTGTCAGAAGGAGTGGATTTCTGCACTGGTTCCTCGTTAGCAGGAGTGACATCCAGGCCACCGTCCCATCTTAGAGGAAAGACTGATGGGCCTGTGTCTCCTGGGTCACTGTGTGGGACCTTGCTGTAGTGGGCCAAAAGCTCTTTCTCAGCACTTGCTCCCGACAGCCTTGACTGCTGTATGCTCAGCAAATCAGTGGATGGTCTCACTTGCTTTTCCTTAGAAAATTCCATCTGTGAGTCCCAGAGTGACTGTTCAGTGCCCCCTCTTTCCTTACTCTCTCCAATCCTCTGTGCTTCTGCATGCCTTAGCATTTTACAGAGGGAAGTTGTCATTTCTCCAGGGTGGGACGGCTCTAATTCACTGGAATCATGACGGTTTGAGCTGGAGACAGCGTGTGACATGCCCACTACAGAAGAGATGCCCACTGAGTGTGCACTGAGAGGCTTTCCCTGAGCCACAGTTTCATGAGTGCATTCTCCAAGAACATCACTCCTATGGATGTGGTCCTGCGCTGTTGACATTAGTTCATGGTTTCTGGCATGTGGATGTCCCCGGAGAATGGAAAAGGCTGGACCGTTATTTCCACTTCCTGCTCCGGTGTTGTCCCCGCACTGTCCTGAGCTCTGCGGACTGCCAGGATCCTTGCTGCTCCTTCCCGGAGTTCTATCAGGAATTACAGTGGTGTGTGGCTGTGGCTGTGGCTGTGTCTCCCAGAAAGGTGTCTGGTTCTCATAGAGGCTTAGATCAGGAAGTGCTTGGCGCAGATGTGGTGTGTGTCCCGCAGCTTCGATGTCGTCGTAGAAGCCCTCGTTTGAATACCCATTGTTCCCGCCAGGGTTTTTGTTCCGGCACTTTCGTTGCCACAGTCTGTCAATATAAGGCCTCGTGAAAGCCCCCAGACAGAAGGCGACAAGGAATGTGCTGAACACTGACAGGCACACCGCCAGAGCCAGGTCCTGGGGAGCGTCCTCCTTTCTGCCGGCAGCCTGCACATCCCGGGCGCTTCTAACACTTCTTGGCAGCCGTCTCTGCTTCTCTCTGAGACCAGAGCTGGCCCTTGCCTTCTTTCGCAGACTGGAGACGCCTGTGTGCCTTCCTCCCCGGGGCCTCTCTGCTTTGCTCCTTATGAGGCTTTTCATGCTATACAGATGAATGGAAGGAAGGTGGGTTTCCCTGGAAATTCTGCTCTGGAGGGTTCCGCTATTGGCCTCCTCACTCCCTGCAAGTGGATAAAAAAAAAATACACATTGAGTGAACATTGAAATAAGATTCCAGGGGTTTTTCCTTTATTCAGGATTGGGGCCTCTCTCTGTCACCCAGGTTGGAGTGCAGTGGCACGATCATAACTCTCTGAAGCCTCAGACTCCTGTCTCAAGCGATCTTCCCACCCCAAGTCTCCAGAGTAACTGGACCTACAGGCGTGAGCCACCATACCCGGGCTGCTTTTTTTTTTCCACTTTATAGAGACAAGGGTTGTCACTGTGCTGCCCAGGCTAGTCTCAAACTCTTGGCCTCAAGCGATTCTCCTCCCTCGGCTTCCTGAACAGCTGGACTGTAGGTGTGAGCCACTGCCCCCATCTCCAGATTCTAGGGGTTTCAGAAGCTTCTGTGAGTCCTACTCAGTCCTTATCTAGCTATATATGTTAAAGTATACATTATGTGATAATAAGCAGTTTAAAAGTTTTCTTCATTCTTGTTTAATGCCAACAGTATGTCTGGCTTTCTGCATTCACACCTGGCTATCAGGCTGAGGTCTGTTGCTCAGAGGTCCAGGAGGTTGCATGTTCCTTAGGGTTCCTGCCTCACTGCTGCCCGTGGGAGGAAGAAGCCAGACTGGAGGAACAGCCACATGTACATGGCTTCTCCTTCCTCCATAGTCTTAACTACTCCATGTTTGCCAGAACATTCTACTAGCCTCCTGCAACACCTGTCTTGGCTCTACCCAGGTTTGCAATTTTATTTCCTTACCATTCTCCAGTGCTGGTAAACAGCAGAAATATTCAGTTTTTTTCTCCTGGTTTCTGATATTCTGCCCTCTACCCTCAGAATGCCAGTTGTGGAGTGAAACAATTGTGGCTGATGACATTAAGATTCTCTCTGATTTTCATGGATTTCCTCTAAACCTGGTCGGCATGGCCATGTTCCTACTTGAAAGGCAGTCCTGAATAGAACAGAATCTAGCACTCATTTTTTTTAATGGACTTTTTTTTTTTCTAGTTATAAGGTTGAGATTTAGCCAAGGTAGTTAATAGTGGAAAAAAAAAAACTTCCCAGAATATCCAACCCCAGGAACATATTCCAGCCCTTTGGAAGAGGGGTAAGGAACAAATCAAAGGAAAATATGCTTTTGTAATATGGTGTATGTGCATTTTGTGTATGTAGAGGATCACACTTTCAGAGTGTTAGCAAACATTTAAAATAATGATGTTTCTGATTTTAAAAGTTCTTTAACAGATTATTTGTTAAGAATTGGGATAAAACTGTGACATTAAATTTTATTCATGTGTGCATTCTTGTTTAACACCTACAGCATGTCTATGGTTCTTGAGAATAAAGTTTGGTGTGTCAGAACAGAACTCTCTTCTAGGGGAATTCCTCCTGTTGACCAAATCCAACTGATGCTGAGTGAGTTGAACTGTGTTTCTTTGACCGCATGAAGAAAATAATTGATGAACTGAGGAAAACAGTTGTTAGGCCCCAGTGATTCTTCTGTGGCACAGCCCAAGACTGACTAATGCCAGAGATCCGCATTTTTGCTTTCGGGGGACTGTCACTACTTCAAATGAGACTAAAATTTGTATGTGCATTTTTCAGTATAAATGGAGCTTTTTCAGAGAAACCTTATTGACTTACCTACAGACCTGTTGCAAATGACATTCCACTTTTTCCTCCAGGATTCAGAAATAAAATTTTGAAAGACTGCCACGCTATTGTCACACCGCCAGTGATTATCAGCCAAGTCAACCACCAGATGGGGAAGTTCTAGAGCCATGATCATCATTGGCAGGATGGTGGCCAGAGCATTGTTGCTGAGATCTAAGACCTGTTTGAGAAGAAACAAGTTTAGGATCATCTGTGGATAAAGACATTTAGAGATAAAATAAACGAGTTACAGAAAAATACTGTTTATGTCTCTATGGAGGCAATATGAATTTAATACTGGTTTACAAGTCAGGGAATAGCGGGTTTTACGTCTCTGTTCTACCTTTAAGAACTTCACGAGTCTTGACAAATGGTTTACTTTCGATAAGCCTCCTTCCCAGGGTTGCTGCGAGTATTGAAGGTATGTGAAAGCTTTAAGTATCATGCCTATGTTCAGTGCTTAATCATTTTCTCTTCCTTCTTTCCTGAGTGTAATTTGTACTGTTAAAGAAAACCTAGATGCTCATGTTTTCAAGATCTAGAATTGGATGCCAGATCAAGCATTTCTAAAAGTAGTATAGTCTTGAAAGTGGCAGAAAATACTGGATGATGAAGACACAGAACACAGAATTGTGGTTGACCAGAAATCTTATTTATGTATTTCTGGTGGAGATGAAATCTCACTATGTTGCTCAGTTGGTCTCAAATTCCTGGGCTCAAGTAATCCCCATGACTTGGCCTCCCAAAATGCTGGAATGACAGGCATGCACCTGGCCTCAAAGAGAGATCTTTTGCATCAAATATTATCTCAAGGGTAGTAGTACATTTCTCTGCATCCATGGCTTTCAGTATGTGCAGTATGACTAAATTTTTCTGGTCTGAACAGAAATGAAGGGGAAAGGGGAACAAGAAGGATCCAGTGTCTCTAGAAACGGAAAGCAGGATCTGCAGATGTCGGACACGGAAGGAGCATGACATAGCAGGGAAAGCACAGTTAGGAGAAGCTCTAGCTGCCATTTGCAGAGCCCTGCTGGGTCCCAGACATGCTACTGAGTGCTTTATGTACATGATCTCTGACCTTAACAATTTCCTCATTTTAACCTTTAACACAGAGGAAGAAACTGGGTTATGCCACACGGTACATCTCACATAGACCCTGGCACCTGGTACATAGCAGGTGCTCTGTGAACAATAGGAAGGAAGGAATGCAATGGTAGAGCTGAGGTCTCATCTGGCTTCACAGCTGTGTGTCTTCCACTGCAGAACATACCCTCCCAGAGCCTGAGCCCTGCTGCACTAGAGTGAAGGAAGGGCGGGGTTGAAGAGACCAGGGGCTGAGGCACCAAGATGGCTCACGAGGTTTGGGGAGGGGCAGGTAGTTACTAAGAGAAGATAAAATTATAAAAAAAGAAAATACAGTCCTTGCTTTTAAAAAAGAGGACAATGAATGAAAGCCAGAAAGGCTGAATGTTATCAAGGCCAATTGTTTTATAGACACCCGGGGGGAAAATCAGCATTTACATCTTGGGTTATATAAATTCCTAAAGGGCTTATTCGAGCAAAAAAATCAAACAGTGCCACAAACAAGACCATCACATATAGAATCAGAATTTTTTTGTGAACTTGGGTAGTAAGGGTGAATTTTCCACTGTTGAATAGCCAAGCAGTATGGACTTTCAAAGGAAGGTCGCCAAAAATTGGAGGCAGGAGACTGCGGGATTGGAAAGAAAAACATACTTAGCTTGGCCTGTCTTGGTGGGGATCAGTAGCTTTCTTACGTATCCCTTGATGACAGATTGAAACATTCTGATGTTTTTCAGGGAATTATTTGCTTTTTAGTGCATGTCTGCATTTATTTTTTGTTCTAGCATCTTATTATATTACAAATCACGGAACTGAAAGCAAAACTGGAGGGAGGACAGAATATTAATAAAATGATTCAGGAGGAACAATTTCTGAGACAGGAGTAAAATAGAATGGTCCCATTTGGCTAAAGAAATACCCATCTACCAGCATTCGAAAGGAGTATATATTATGGAAAGATTGGGAGAAGCACATACAATATCGCTTCACAAATCACTGCATTTAAGAAGAATGGGATAAGATTAGGAAAAGAAATGCTAATTTGAAATGTCAGTGAAACTTATTTCATCCCATCAAAACATGGTGATGAATTTATGCTGTGAAGAATCTATCTGGCTTCTGAAAAGATTTCCACATGGGAAAACACATAGAATAGTGCAAGTATTAAATTCTTCGCCCAGAAGAAAAACGATATCCATTTTGATATTCAGCCTTTTGGTACCGAATATGTTCATCATGTTCCAAAACCAGTTTTTAGAGTTATTGCCAAACATGCAGAAGGGATAATAGAGAAGAAATGGTCTGATTCTGGGGCAGTTCCAGTGCATTGAGAATTACTGCTGTTTTTAAAACATTCTCGGGGTTGATTTTTAGTCTACCTGTGGCATCTATCACCTGTGAGCTGCAGAAGACTAACAGAGCTCAATAAAAGGGCACAGGAAATACAACAGATGAAGGGCAAATTACATATACCAAGTATATAAAATACTAAGCGACGTGCCCAGGCAATCTGACTGCCTGTTTGTGGTAAACTGGGGAGCACTACCAAGTTAAGTGGATCTTCTCATCTGTCCTCATGACTACTGTAGCAGGCAGACTCCAGGATGGTCTCCAATGATCCCGCCTCCTCGGTGATCATGCCCTTGAGTACTCTCCTCCTCTTGGATGCAGGCAGCACCTGTGATTTGTTTCTAACCAACAGACTATGAGAAGCAATGGAATGTCACTTCCATGATGACATTACGAAGAATTGTAATGTTCTTGGTAGCAGACTCTATCCCTCGCTGACTCTGAAGCAAACTGCTATGTTGTGAACTGCCCTATGGAGAGGCCCACATGGCACAGAACTGAGGGCAGGCTTTGGCCAATAGCCAGCAAGGAACTCAGCTGTTCCTCCAGCAGCCCACTAGGAACTGAATCCTGCTGATGGCCACGTGAACTTGGAAGTGAATCCTTTTCTAGCTGGGCTTTTAGGTTAGACTCCAGCCTTGGCCAATATTTTGATTACAGCCTCTTGAGAGACCCTTAAGTGGAGGCCCCAGGTAAGCCTGGATTCCTGTCCCATAGAAGTTGTGAGATAATCTGTGTGTGTGGTTTTAAGGTGATAAATTGTCAGTAATGTATTACATAGCCATAGATAACTCATACGCCTACCTATGTCCATCACCCATTTATTCATTCCTTTGTTTATTCAACAAGTATTTTAAAATATGTGTCAAGTACCAGGCATATGCTAAACACTGGAAAAGAAAGAGCTTTAAAGCTTTTTGTGTCTTTAAAGCTTTCTGTCTAAAAAAGCTTTATGTCTTTAAAGAGCTTACCAATAGGGTAGAAGGGTTTGAGGGCACAGGCATTGACAATTAGCCATACCTAAAACCAAATAATTTCAGCTGGGATAAGCGCAATGAGGGGAAATGAGCAGCATGTCATAAGTGTTTATAAAAGGGGAGCTAATTTAATCTGGAGGCCCAGGGAAGGCTTCCCTGAGGAAATAATATTTTAGCAAAACTGACAGGTTTAACAGAGGTTGGCTCTTCCAGGCAAAGGACCAGCAAGTGGGGAGGGCTTGAGGTGAAAACAGAGGCAGGGGTGGAGGGAGCCAGGGAAGCGTGGCTTGAAAGAAGGCTGGAGAGACAGACAGGGTCAGGTCCTTGCAGTGAAATCTTAGAAGCATTTTCACCAAGAAGTGGTGTAATCAGATTTCTGTGTTAAAAGAGCAGGGGACACCTGCCACTTTAAAATTTCTATACACAGACTACATTTAGAAAGTGCTTACTGTATTCTAAGCACTGTGTATGTATTAAACACTTAATTCTCACAAAACTCTGAAATATCTCCATTTCTCAGAGGAGAAAGCTGAGACACAGAGATTTGATAACTTGCGTTAAGACAGTATGGCTGGAAAGTGGCAGAGGCTGGATTTAAGTTCAGGCAGCTGGCTTATGGCCACACTCCCCATCACTGACTGCTTCCCTAGTCTTCCTTCTCGAGGGACTCCAGGAGCCATTCTGGTTGGAAGTGGGGAGCTAGAGGCTTATCTTGCAGCTATGCCTGAATAGCACTTTGCAGAACACTGGGAAAATCTCAGTTGTCTATGTTGACATTGCTTAATATGATAGCCACTCCAATAGATAACTAATACACCTATCCACATCCATCATCCACTTATTCATTCCTCTGTTCATTTAACAAGTATTTAAAAATATGTATCAGGTACTGGCATATGCTAAGCACTGGAAAACCAAACAGATGTGTTGTATGTCCTCAAAGAGCTTACACATGGCAATCGAGCAATTAAAACAGGGGTGGTCCAAATTGGGTTGTGTGGTAAGCATAGAAAAGCCCCTAGGTTTTGAAGCCTTACTATGAAAGGGGATATAAAATATCTCATTAATAATTTCTATATTAATGACATGTAAAAGATAATATTGGGTAAATAATACTTATTACTAAGATGAAATTCACTTGCTTATGTTTACTTTTTCACTCTAGCGACTGGAACATTTAAAATTGCATGCATGGCTCACGTTGTATGTTTCTATTGAATGATGCTGGCCTATGCAAAGAATGAGAGGTGTGGTGAGGTTATGGAGATGGAGGACTACAGACTCTTCCAAACCATCTCTCAGTGCCACACTGCAGGCCACTCTGGTGTTGCTAAAGGACCACAGAGACGAGATTTTACAACGTCCTCCCAAAGGGGAAGGTTGTGGAGGAAAGTGCTTGGAGGAGAAGAGGCTGAAGATGCCAGACCTAGAACAGGGCTCTGGGAGTTCTTCACCCTTATAGCTGTTGGCACCTTGAAAGATTAACTGCAGTGTTCCAGAGACAGGAACTATGGACCCAAAATGTAACATAAATCTCCCCAGTATGGGTTGGATGTTTAGAACTGCATGTGGCACATGGTACATGCTATACAAGTGTCAAAATATTATCGTTATAGTTTTTATTATTTCGTGTCCAATTTTGATATGGAAGCAACAGGGTCACTTGCTTTCAGAGGCCCACATAGTCCTGGATCATTGACATTTTAGCATCAGCCTCCTCAGGCATTCCAGATTGCATAAGATCCCTGAGACCTTTGACCAATCTTGTAGCTTAGGGAGATAGTCTCACTAATAACTAAGTTTTAATTTCTTGCCAACTGCTAAGTGGAAATTTGGAGTTGGATTTAATTTGATTTAGAAAAATAACATGTCAATTCTTGCTGTTGAGTATTATGTTGGAGTAAAATTCATGCCCCTTATTGTGGCCTTTCATTTCTGAGGCAAGAAAAAGATTTCAGCTCTTTTAAGGGATCTTAAAATAGACTAACAGTTTTTGATTAGTAGCCAGTACTACTGGACATGAAGAAACTCTTCAATGGAAATATGCTTCTAATATAATTGCCCGTGTATCTGCATATTCAAGTATTATAAGATGATTTTGGAACCTGTAATTGTTTGAGGTCCTTGAAGGCTTGTGGGTGAATTTTGAATATCTTGTTGCTCTTTAAATAGAGATTCTCCAGTTGCAGGCAATTCTGAAAATCAGACCACCCAATTTGCAATATCCCATTGAATGACAGATCCAAACTCTGCAATGACTTCAATTTCCACAGTCCTGTTAAAATGAAAAAGTAAGTTAAAATCTAAACTGGTGACATTTACTCAGCACTGTTTGTAATGGTAAAAAGTTGGAGACAACATTAAGAATTCTCAATTGAGGTACTGTTAAAACAAAGTATGGTATTATTAATGCTATAAAATAATACGTGGTCCCAAAGGAGATTGAGACAGATTAACATGTAAACTGAACAGGAAGAAAAAAGTTAAGATGCAGAATAGTATAGAGTATATGTCCAATGTCCTTGGGGAAAAACAGCCATATGCAAACATATATATAGATTTTGAGCGAGCAGAGAAAAGACCTGGCAGGAGACGCACTAAATTACTAACAGGAATTACACTTAGGAATATAATGGTTGAGGAAAGTGAAGAGGGACGAGAAAGGAAATGTTGAGGCCAGGCGCAGTGGCTCACGCCTGTAATTCCAGCACTTTGGGAGGCCAAGACAGGTGGATCACAAAGTCAGGAGTTCAAGACCAACCTGGCCAAGATGATGAAACTCGTCTCTATTAAAAATACAAAGTTAGCCGGGTGTGGTGGCAGGTGCTTGTAATCCCAGCTACTCAGGAGGCTGAGGCAGAAGATTCGCTTGAACCCAGAGGTCGGAGGTTTCAATGAACCAACATCACGCCACTGCACTCCAGCCTGGGCAACAGAGCGAGACTCCATCTCAAAAAAAATTAATAATAAAGAAAATGTTGTTTTGAGCACTTTTGAATTTTTTCTTTGAATGAGCATGTACTACTTTTAAAATAAGAGAATCAGTTAAAAATATAACCTTGATTGAAAGACATGATAAATATTTATTTGATTGAACTATATAGTAAAACGAATCTTGCCAAACAATAGAGGAAAAATGTTGTTTTGATGCTTTATTTACATGGATGAATTCTTCCAGTTCTAAGATTTTCTTGTTCTGTTTTTTTCTGAAACACAATCTTGCTCTGTCATCCAGGTTGGAGTGCAGTGGCACAATCCCCACTCACTGTAACCTCTACCTCCCAGGTTCAAGTGATTCTTCTGCCTCAGCCTTCTGAGTAGCTGGGATTTTAGGCACCTGCCTCCATGTCAGGCTAATTTTTTTTGTTTTTTTGTATTTTTAGTAGAGACGGGGTTTTGCCATGTTGGTCAGGTTGGTCTCGAACTGCTGACTTCAAGTAATTCACCCACCTCGGTCTCCCAAAGTGCTGGGATTACAGGGATGAGCCACCACCACACCCAGCTGTTTCATTTTATTTTATAGCCAAGTCCTTTCTTATAGCTACTTATTGTTGATACTATGACTATTTCCTAGGGATTCTTGTGTTTTCCAAAGGTAGTAAGTTATAGCTAGATTTTGTTTTCCAGCAAAATAATCAGATTGAATTTTGGTCTCTGCCTTGGTATTTCACTTGATTTCAGAGAGTAACCAGGAGGTCCATTTGGCACTGAAAATAAATAAAGGTTGAGAATGAGGTGCCAGTCGTAGCAGTCTCTCAAATTTCATTTCCCATATGGGTCTGAGAAGGAAGTGCCTGCATTTTTACATTTCCTTCTGCTCTGTTCTTGCATGTAGCCTGTGTCTTTAATCAACTACTACATAACAAGATGAGGTTGGTTCAATTCCAGGAGGCTTTATTCCTTGCCTACTGTCTGCAAGGTACTTATTGTAAGATTGATTATACAGGGATATGATAACTTAATTGAAATGGCTGCACCATCAAGGTTGTCATATGTTCATTTAATTATATACGGGCTGAGCAAGAGATCATGAGGACAACAAATCAATCAAAACCTTATGGGCAAGGTAGTCGGTGCTGAGAACAAGTATAGATAGCATAGAATCTTTACTCTAAAAAGAGTTGAATCTGGTCCAATGATAAGACATACTAAACTCAAGGTAAAGTTACTAGTTAAACAGAGTAGTTCATCGCATGCACCATCCAACCACAAAATTAACTTTTATTTGTTTGTTTGCCTGTCCATCAGATGACCAAGTCCCATCAGGGCAGAATTCACATCTTTGAACTTTTGCAATGTTTGGTGGAATATAGTATACATTCAATAGGCCAGAGGCCACCGTGTTTGGCCTGCACAGAGATTTAAAAATCATTATGCTGACACTAAAAATTCAATAAAAATTTGCATTTCTGGCCTCTCTTAAGAAAACTGGAAGTTCTAATTGACACAAGATGACATGTGGCTGGTGCTGAATGAAGGCTGCCTGCTGTTGATGGGGGAATGAGCTTATAGAAGATCATGATTTCGATCTACTCATTTCTCTATCAAAAACAGGAAAACAGACTGGGTGCAGTGGCTTTCGCCTATAATCCCCGCACTTTGGAGGCCGAGGCGGGTGAATCACTCGGGGTTAGGAGTTCAAGATGAGCCTGGGCAACACAGTGAAATCCTGTCTCAACTAAAAATACATAAATTAGCCGTTTTGGTGGTGTGTACCTGTAATTCTTCTACTCGGGAGGCTGAGACAGGAGAATTACTTGAGCCTGGGAGGCAGAGGTTGCAGTGAGCTGAGATCACAGCAGGCACTGTACTCCAGCTGGGACGACAGAGTGAGACTCAAAAAAGAAAGAAAGAAAAGAAAAAGAAAAACCCAGGAAAACAAAGGATAGGCCAAGAAGACTTTTCTGTTTGTTTGTGTTTTTGAACTAAGGCTTATATTCATCTGGCATATTGTGGTTAAAAAAAACTTCCATATTGGTTTGGAAATGACCATTGCCCAAGTCCCTGGGCACTGCCCTGCTGCCCTGAGCACTCACTTCTGTCTGTTCTCTCCCTGCCCCCAGTCCAGCAGCACCTGGCTCCAGCACTAGGGCCAGGAGGCATCTAACTGTGGAGCCCAGGCTGAAGGCCAGTTGTTAAATATTTTGAATATAACCTCCGGAGAAAATGTTTCTTTGTGCAGAGAAGCATATTCCTACATCTTTTAATATGCAATGTATGGGTCTGTCAGAAAAATGCAAAATAAGGCAACCATATGAAAGAAGCTACAGCTTTCTTAACATTTTCATGATACCTGCCTGGCCTATATAAAGATGTGAATTCATGATTCCTAAAATATCTCAGTGCTTAATTGAATTGAGTAAGTGCCCTAGGAGCTCAGCGGAGGGAGCAATCATGCCTAGCTTTGAAGTGAGGGGAGAAATTATTTTTAAACTCCTAATTGTGTACTCTTTATGCTCTAAGCATTTCACAACCATCTTTTAATCTTCACAAATCCTGAGGAGTTATCAACATTTTACAAGTGAAAAAAACCTAGGTTCAGTGAAGGAGAGAATTTGCCCAACAACACCATGGTAGGTGGAGCTGGAATCAAAATCCAGCTCTCTTAATCATGACCCTTTAACAATATCCACCTTTTATTAACTAAAAACAAACAAAAAACCTTCCCCCAAAATCACAAAAGCGTTGTATTGCCCATGGAGTACATAATGAAATTGCCAGAGGTATTGGGGGTTGCTTAGTTAACCTGCTTATATCATGGAGTAATAGGGTCCTAGAGAGGAACTTGAGACTGAGGTTTATTCCACCTATATTTGTGACTTTTTGTTTCTGTTTTGTTTTGAGACAGGATCTTTCTGTGTCACAAGGCTAAAGTACAATGGTACAATCATAGATCACTGTAACCTCAAACTCCTGGGTTCAAGTAATTTTCTCGCCTCAGCCTTCAGAGTAGCTACAGGTGCATGCCACTATGTCTTGCTAATTTCTTTCTTTCTTTTTATTGGAGACAGAGTCTTGCTCTGTCACCAGGCTAGAGTGCAGTGGCTCGACCTTGGCTCACTGCAACCTCCGCCTCCTGGGTTCAAGCAATTCTCCTGCCTCAGCCTCCCAAGTAGCTGGGACTACAGGCGCGCGCCACCACGTCCAGCTAATTTTTGTATTTTTAGTAGAGACAGGGTTTCACCATGTTGGCCAGGATGGTCTTGATCTCTTTACCTCATGATCTGCCCGCCTTGGCCTCCCAAAGTGCTGGGATTACAGGCATAAACCACTGCTTCCAGTCCTGTTTGTGACTTTTGATGTGAACCAAAGAAAATCACTTACGGCTTCCATGCTTGTTACATTCCTTAAAAATTGTTTCTCATAGCTGGAATTGAGATATGTCTTTCATTACTATAATCGTCCAGCTCTTGGAGTACAGTGAAAGCTGGGTCCATTAGTTTGGATGATTGTTCATCAAATATTCTGTCCTGTGGGCAGAATACACTTTCCCATCCCACCAAGTTGAGTTTGGCCATGTGATTTGCCTTGGATGGCAGCAGAGGTGATGAGAGCAAAGATCTGAAACATGATTATGTGGCAGGGCTTGTTCTCTTGGCTTCTGCTAGTGTCATTAAAAGAACATGGCCTGGTGGCCTGCTGGTCCAAATGAGGGCCTTGTGGAACAGACTTAGACCCCTGTGTAACTTTCATGATAACAGGTATGAACCCTTGAGGAATGATAACTAACTATATTAGAGTAGGGTTAGAGCTCTTGACTGCCTTTTTTTTTTTTTTTTTTAATAGAATCAAAGTTGTTTAATGAGATCTGGCAGGAGTTCCACTGGCCTCAGGTGACTGTGTGTGTATCATGCTGGACTAAGTTTTTTAAGTACTGACAGTATCTTGTGAATGGGCTGATGCTAGGATGGAGATGAAGACAGAAGCTCTTTGCTAGGCTAGTATCAAAGATGGCTTCCCAGCTCAGGTCGGCAGAAAATCCAGGTCATGAGACCCAGCGGGCCCTGACCAGTGGGGATGAGATGCTCTGAGATCAAGGTTTCGGGAAAAAAGCTCCTGATTAAACAGTTTGACCTGGGTGAATTCTGGAGATCCACGGCAGACATCATTCTGATCTCCACCCAACAAAGTAAATTCCAGTTGGATTATAAGCATAACATGCCTGAAAAATCTTCTCCTACAATTTTGCCATCCATGGAGTTAAGGCATATATATAAATAAAAGCTTGGTGTAGTTGCACACTGGGAAAGCTGTTTTTGAGATTAAAAAAAGAAA